TGCATAGGAAAGATATGCAAGGCTTCAAGAGCGTCTTCTGCTCAGAAAAATTAGTTGGAATATTTCCGAAAGGGGTTGGAACTACAAGTATTGAAATAGTTCGGCGTATCGAAGAGTACTCAGAACTCAATCTCACAAATCCTTCAGACATTTTATGGGGGATGTTGGGAATCTTTAATGCATTCCAAAGAAGTCGCCTGGGTATCCACCACTGCTTGGGCATACCAATCTTGCCTTCAATGGCGCAGAGGGCTAAGCCGATTGAGGGATGGACGCCGTCTATGGGATTTTTCTTTGGGTTATTTTGGGACCTACAAGAACGATCAGAACGACGGAATGGTTTTCCGAGCTGGTCTTGGACGGGCTGGTATGGTCCCGTCAACTGGAAATGGGCCGATACTATGACATGGCCAGAAGTTACAATTGACCCTGGCGTCAGGCTGAGCGTCGAGTTGATCGATGGACAGATATTAAAATGGGAGGCCTTTCAGGAAATCAATACCAAACACAACATGCTGTCGCGTCTGTCTAACATCATTTATCTTGCGGCATGGACGGTAGATATTCCCATAGTTAAACGAGAAAAACAGAAAGACAAAGATGAGTATAAAGCCATACTCAAATTAGATGATGGTGGGTTGCTCGACTGGCAGTTCGAGTCCACTTCAACGATTGAATTTCTACCAGGTCAAGTATGCAAGGGAATTATCTTGGGTCACGATCGCAGCGGCCTTTCGACAGGACCTGCTATACTGGTTATTGGCAAAGTCAATAACACTATGGAACGAGTCGGTCTCGGTTGGGTCGATCAATGGTATTATAAGAGGTGGAACAAAGATGGGGTTTGGGAGTTTGCGAATGAGGAAGACAACCACCTCTGGAGGAATCCGGATTTGCTCGAGCCTCTAGAATTGGTCAGGTCATGGGAAGAGATTCGACTTGGTTAGTTTGATTTTTCCATCAACTTTACTCCAAGAGGAATGGAACTCGTTCAAGGTCTTGATGGTTAACTTTCCTTTTACTCTCGGAAGCATTTCACACTTAGATCATCAGGAAAGAAAGTTTGACGGAACTAAACTGGTTGACACTCGACAACTTTCATTGTCATCAGACTCAGTGTCAATCTTATTGCCTTTCTGGTTTCTCACACAAAAGCTACTTTGATAGCACTCTTCAACAAAGAAAATAAGTAAAATACTGGAAGTGACCCACCAATACCAACAAACCTAGTAGTCCGAATACTAAAATAGAACCAGGGGCAAGTTCTGGCTCCCTGGCGCGCCGGCGTATCCATTGCGCTTAACAGAAGTACAGGCTAACACACCCCTTTAATTCATGCTTGAAACTGAATCAGTCTTAATCAGAGTACTACAGTTCGGTCTACTTCGGTTTAAAACATACGGTTTCGGCACAATGAAAATTGGAGCACATCGAATTTTAACGCTTCATACCCAAGCAGTCTGAATTGTAGTATTGCAACTGAGATTACCCCTAGGCACATGACCTTGTCCACTCTTCGCAGTCTAAGCCCACTATATGAACTTGACAGAAACTGCAGCACTACAGTACAGCTCGCTGCTTATAGCCACTATCAAAATCAGGTTCTGCTCTGAACTCACAGAATTAAGGTTAATACAAGCCAAACTACCATTTTCAACTCCACTGACGTTAGCACCATAATGGCTAGCTGTAATTACCCCTCCAAGGCAGTTTTTTCGGTCACGTTCAGAGCACATGCGCTGACATCACTTTATTCGGGTGACTCTTGGCATATTCTGGCTCCTTGAATTATGTCCTCTACTTTGTGCTTTCGCTAAATACTGAGATGTGGCTATTCTGGCTGCCTGGATTGTGTCCTACACTTTGTTCTTTTCCTTGCTAATGGTTGTGCACGCCTATGACGGTGGTCCAACGCTCCAAGGAACTCCCTTTCCTCCCAAAAATATGGTGAACATCAATCGAGGGGTAGAAGTAAGCCTCACTAACAAACTGTATTCTCACTTGACTCTGGTCGCCCTCGCAATACAAACGGCATTTTCGCAGCTTAAAAGCAACACATGTGATCATTCACACACACTGAACAATATCCCAGTCCGATCAATCCTTGTTTGGTACAATAGAGACTTCGACTGGATTTGTAGGCTCTGTAGATAGCAGAAGGGTTGGTGTTCCGCTGGATCAAGCTAGTTCGTACTGATATTTGGAGGCTTAGGTTCATTGCTGTTGGAAGATGTATTCTGCTCCTCAAAGCTCGTAAGGCGAGTGATATCATTTACTGGGAAATCAATGTTCGTACTTTATTTGCTGTTATGTTAGCTCGCGATGGCCTTGGTCGACGATTGGCTGCAGCAAGCGCATAGATGAGCAGTGTGTATGTTCTTTGCTTCAGGCAACCACCACTCCTTCATCCTAATCCTATATACGTCAAACTTGTCGCATGCAATTTACACCTTCTACGAGGCGATTCCTCGTCTCTTCAAGTTATGGCTGGTTGGCCGTCTTTGCCCCCTTACACTACAGTCAGGTTTCTTGCTAACAGTGCATGCATATTTCCAGCCTTTGTGACAACTTCTTCCCAATCCTGAGGCTACGGTCTTAGATCCCAACGCGGGGCTCAAAGTTGAGTGAGTATGCATGTCTGCTATTTGTGCAAGTAGCGCTGATGAAAAGTAGTATCATCGCGGTCTATGGCCTCAATCCGAAAAGCAAACCGGCAAAAGCGCACGCTTGGGATACTTGGAGAACTCTAGCCAGGGACGATGGCAGATTATAGCTTCAAGACGATCTTCCAAACACAATCCCTGACATAAGAGTGTTCTTGTACGAATATGATGCCACTGTTGTTTACGGAAACAATCGGTCGAGTTTCTGTAAAAAAGCAAATCGCTTTTTGGAAGATATCCGAGTTAAGAGAGAGGATGTGTGTAAAGCCTCATACTACCAAGTTGTAGCTTACACAAATTTAGGACCTAGGCCGGCCTTGAGTTCTGCTTGGTTATAGTCTTGGTGGTCTGCTTATTAAGCAGGTAAGGATCTTGATACAAGGTATCTTGTTCACTATACTGATCTTTATTTAGTCGCTTATTAATGCCCACAACTCCTTAGATATAGAGTACAAGAAGATTCTAGAGGCAATATAAGTAATGTTATTAATAATCTAGTTATAGCAAGACTAAACTCCCTAGAACTGGCATAATACTAGTCAAAGTCATTCACTAACCGTTGCTATAATAGTCAAACTGCTAGAATAAGAGCTCCTGCAACTTGCAATTATTGACATACTCAAAATGATAAAAGAACAAGACAGGCGCGTATATTCATCGCTAGATAAAGTTGATAGACAGACAACAGATAGTATGTCGGCAGTGTCAGACACCCAAAATCTGATATATATTGAGCTAGGAGGCGCCGTAGCCGTTTCCACTAGGATTACCTAGTTGGCCACTAGAACGGGACCGGCAGGGTATCTACTCGCAGGGTCTCTATGCATAGCTGGGCTTGCAACTACGTACCGTGTTAGTGTTAATCAGAATGACAGACAGCTAAATGCTTCTTTGGCTAAGCTAAAGGAAGCCTTGTCCCGGATGGAAAGAGAGCTGGTAGAAGCCCATCAGCGCACAAATCTTCTTAGAGAGCGTGAATGACTAGAGTAAAAAAATTATAGAAGAGAGATGAGACTTGGGATGAAAGCTTGGGAGGCAGAATTAAGTAAAGTCAGAAAAGATTATAAGATTGCCATGCAGCAAATATTGTAGAAGACAATCAAAGCTAACAAAATGGCGGCACAGATTGAAAAGAATCGCACAGAGGCTGATTATGCAGCAGAGAATGGAATGGGGTGGTTGCCAACGTCGGTATTTCGGGCGGTGAAGAAACTTTTGGCATATTTGGCCCGGTGGATATAATATCTTTTCCTAAAACATTCTCTAATTTCATTGTTGGGAGTTAGTATCGAGTAATTTAAAGTAATTGAAAGACCAGTTAGGGATGTACGGTGGAGATATAATTTGGACCCCTGGCTGGGCGAAGGGAGGTCCTTTTGGCTCCCTCGTTAAAAGTTGACGATTTCTAATAAGATACATCAATAAGGTGAGCCGACATGAGCAAAGGCAGCGCTGGCCATGTGAGCCTCAGGGTCGACATTCCGGTGGTATAACAACTGTTACTCTGGCTATCCCAACAAAGCTTCGCCTAGCAGGTGAGAGAACCCGCATTTTCTGTAAAGTGATATAGCACACCAATGGTGGGTATTGGCTTGCAACTGAATATGGCCTTCTCTCAAGACACTAGCAGCATCAGGAGCTAAATGGTGTTAACAGTAATCCTGTACAAATCCAAGTGAGAACTATAGTACAGGTAGAGAAGGAGAGAAAAGTAACACTTGCAAAAGCAGTAGCCAAGATAAATAAGCATGGGCCAGTAAGCGCTAAACAAAGGGCCGGCCAAAAAAGGAAGTCAGGGACGCGTGAGAGGAGAGAAGAGATACAGGCAGAACTAGATTCTACAGCTAAAGCAAGCGAGAGTGAGGCGAGTATAAGAGAGCAATTAAGGAGAGAGATAGAGGAGGAGAATACAATAAGGGTGCAAGTGCCTAAGGCAAAGCGCCCTAGGATTAGAGTAAGTTGTGGTGGCATAAGGACCAGGAGTACTAGGAACGGTAGTGGTCGAGTCTGAATAGCTTCATTATTTCTTATTCGAGTGTGTTTCTTTCAATAGGTCAAGTGTATATTGTTGCAGAACTCGTATATGGTATTATCACTACAGCTTACTTCTGTGCCTTGCGCTGAATTCAAAATCGTTGAGTTGATCAACTCAATAGTGAGTTCGTATTCTAGTGAGTTGATAAACTCAAGGTCTGGAGTTGATGAACTAGTGAGTTTATGAAATCAATACAAGACATCACACTCGCACACAACAAATTCAACTTCTGTTTGCCCAGACGGTAGCTCTACTCGCTGCAGAAGACACAAAACTTTAAGAAAAAAAGTAAAAAAGACATTTGGATGGGCCGGGATTTGAACCCGGGCGGGTTTCCCCACGCAATAGCATTTACTGCTGTCACACGCCTGCACTCACGTTAGAAATGATCTCAACAAGCTACGGATATCCTTACCATAGACCGCTCGGCCACCCATTCGGGCTGTTGTTATTGAGGGGGGAATACTTATTTCACATTTTAAACCCGATGATCGTCGGGGATTTGGGACCTGGACTTTCTCCAAAGTTTAGGAAGGAAGTGTTTGGGAAGGAGCAGTCAGGGCTGGTGTGCCTGTCATAGCCGTGTTCAAGTCACCCACTTGAGATTTCGGGTTGAGCTTACTCATCTTTAAACGCAGGAAGAGGAATTTGGAATCTCGGCAGCCCACCAACAGCGCCGAAGCGGCTTCGAAGGCGTCGACATCGAATTCGAAATTGAAGAGCAAAAACGCAGGACGGACAGCCAAGCCATTGGCATGAAGTTCAAGTACTCTCTCCATGGGCCGAAAGCTGACAAGGTCGTGATGGTTAAGACCAACCTAGAAAAGTGCCATTGTACTTTGGTAAGCGTCCAACAGCATTCTCTTTCCCCGTCACTTGCGGTGCATTATGCATTTCGCGAGACTCGCGTAAGAATGGCGCTTGAACATGACGGTCTCGCGCGATGGGGAAATAGTCCTTAGTTGCGAACAACCACCTCACTCGAATGACCGATCAGTCGAAATCAAAATGCACGGCATAAATACTTTCGGAGCTCCTCCTCCATCGGAACTTCTTCAAGACGAAAACAAGAAACATGACAGACCTCCTCAGCATCATGCCTACCACAACTCCAGGCACAATTCTGCCTGGAATGATCCGATGGTCCTATGGGAAGGACAAGAAGCCAACCCGCCAAGCTGTACGACCACTTCAGCGCTCTGATAGTATGCAGGCACTTGAGAAAGTCTGCATGCAAGGTATCTCGGGTATCACCTTTATGTCCATCGATTTTGAATACGCTTCGAACGATCGGAACTTAATTTCGGACATTGGGATTTCTACCATCTCTACCGATGATCTGAAACCTTCGCCGAATAATCAAAAGACTCAGATCATCTCACGGCGGTGGCTTCCACCGAGGAAACGCAGAGGGCGTCCCAAGAGACACTTAGGACGTTTCTTGTTCGGCGAAACGACGCGTATACAAAAGGAAGATATCACGGATATGTTGAAAGAAGTCATCTCCTACCGATCAACGTCAGGCGTACCGAACAAAGTTGTGCTTATTGGCCATACTATACGTCAAGAGTTGGATATTATGGAGAATTATGGAATTGACTTGCGCGACCAAGACACATTTTCGATCGAGGCCATTTTCGATATCGCTGCAATCACAAAGGATCTGGAACTGCCATTTGATCAGCGTCCGTCCTTGGGAACTATGTTGACTTATTTGGGAATTCCTTATCAGCACCTCCATAATGCCGGCAACGATGCTCACTTCACCCTCAAAGCATTCTTGATGATGGCTGCTATGGCTTTTGAAAGAATGGAGATGGACGATGTGCAGAGAGCTTGTATAAATACGCTGAAATCAATTGCACTGGAACCCAGCGATTTCAATGCGCCGACAGCTAACGAGGAAAATAGTCGACTGTATGGAATTGCGAAGAAGAAAGAAGCACTTGCATCTGTCCCCTTGGTCAAACTGCCACAAGCGGACTGGTTGGAAAACTCGGATGCCGTCTTTTTGGGATCAACTTTTTTTTGGAATAGATGAGGATATATGAGATTTACGCCCTGGAATCTTCTTTGCGGACGAGTAGCCCATATCTTTCAAAACGATGGAGTGGAAGAACTCACTTGCCCGACCCCCTGCCAACACTAGTAATTTCGGAACTTGAAAATGGCCAACATCTTCGGTCATTTCACATCTCAGTTCCAGACAGCTCGCTTTTGGGATATTCGCAAATTAAGTTCAAATCTCATCGTCGTACGCATAATGTTGGATAATCACTTCCTTGGATATTCGTCCCTCGAGCTCTCCAGGATCCGTTTCTCATTGGCTCGACCCCCTACTGGTCACGACTCCATCGGTCCACGGAAGATTTATAACATTTGCTTTCTGGTGATTTAGATTCTGCAAAGCATTGCAACAACTTTTGACCCCAAGAAATAGTTTCTATGCTCAAGCCGAATGGATTGACTATTTTTGGATTATCAACAACGAATGCAGCTAGGTGTGCAGGGCCGGAGGGTCCGGATGAGGCGGCGGAGAGGCGCAATTATTGGGAAGAAATCGAACCACATATGTCGACTGCTAACCCCAGAATTCCTCAAAGTTCGCTGTTCGAGTTCAAGCCATCGTATGACCTTCATGTTGTCTTGGACGTTGCTCCTTAAGCGGAATTTCGAGTCCTTGATATGGGAAAAAACCGATGGGGAGGACCTGGCGGTTTGGGTGGCAAGACTTCTCCACCGCCGGGCGGATCAGGGGAACGATCCCGAACCGGGTTGGCTTCCTGGAATGGCGTTCCTCGCTCCGGGGAAGCACTCCCGCGCACGGTTTCATGTCTTCTTTTCCCAGCCCTTTCCCCCGTTTGTCATCCAAGCATGCTTTCGCACCTTCTTGATTCGTCTGTTATCTGTCCCCTTCGGTCTGGACTTGGGGTTGCTGAATCGACGATCATCATGCGCTCCACAGCACCCAGAAAGACGACCCCGTCGCGACCACTCGGCTGGGACTGCATTCAATGGAAGCCCTCATGTTCAAGCCATCCGACACTACTTTACGCCACAGACACGAGTTGAGACGGCGTGGCGTGGGGTTTATTCCAGGACGCGTTATATCTTGCAGCTCTTGCGCACGCCTTCTCCATCGTCCAAGAAATTCCACGTGCAGACCACTGGGGCCGCTGAGAGATATTCTTAACCACCAACAATGACCTGATTGTTCCTGTGGTCGCTCCTTCACTGTCGACCGATGTGCGAAGGTCTGTTTCGTCGAGGCCATGAATTCGACGTCGACAATCGGTGCTGGCCCCGCGCCAAGCGGCATAACTCCCAACTTCGTCAACCCGGATTCTATTGCATATCGCCTCATTATCATAGCTGTTGCCTTTCCGGCTTTGTCACTGGCGCTTCTCTCAGCACGTATCTATACAAAACACTTTCTGGTCAGAAGTGTTGACCTTGCTGATTGTATGTTCCAATATCCACTTCGCAAGGCTGCCACTAAACTCCACCTTAGACTCGATTATTCTGGGCTTTGTAAACTCCCTTTGGCCATACCAACTAGTTGTTCGGTTATAGGCTAATAGACCTTAAGCTTTGTTCCCTTGCATACTCGACTTTGCAAATATCTCGTAAGGGTTCAAGATCTTCGCGGGGTGAACTCAACTAACTCGCGCCAGAAACATGGTTTGGAGTCGGAAGGCATATTTGGGATGTGCCTCTTAAGGACTTTGAGATCTTCTTGCGGGCATGTATTATGCATTTCATTCTGTGCATCTATTTTTCGTCAATATCAAGGTGAAGAAACTACTAACTGTCTATAGATGGGAGCACTCGGCGGCAACATCACCTACAGTCTCGGAACTCTCCTTATCAAGCTATCGATCTTGTTGTTCTACTTGCAGCTTTCCGCACATCGCCCTATTCGGATCATTATATACTCAGTGATGTTCGTGACCACTGGATACAACGTGGCAGGGCTTTTAAGCCCTCTCTATATCTGCACTCCTATTCGATCATACTGGGACTTTTCAGTTGTGGGCAAATGTTGGAACATCAACGCATACTTTGTTGCCTTGGCCGCCATTAACGTCGCTACGGACATTGCTATGCTCCTTTTGCCAATCTGGCTTCTTCGGCCACTTCACGTTCCGAAAAGACAGAAGATTGGCGTCACTATTGTGTTAATGATGGGTTCTTTGTCAGTACACCGAAACCTTTGATATTCCTCTGCAAAAGTGCTGACGCTTCCATATAGTGTATGCATCGTGAGTATCGTCCGCCTAGCACTCATTCCCGGAGGATTAAACGATACCGACACCACATGGCACTACGTCAACAACCTAATCTTGATGTACAGGCACCCACCATTTCCCAATTGTCCTACTCCCTAACACAATACAGTATGCTCGAAATGCACGTAGGCGTAATCTGCGCCTGCCTCCCAAGCTTAAAACCACTCTCCAAACACTACTTCCCCTCCCTCTTCGAAGATCACTTTACCATCCCCGAGCCGTCCCTCAGAACATTACCTCCACTCGAGCCCCCTTTAGAGGGAACGCAGCAAAGTAGCACGTATTCGGATGATTCAGGATACCAGACCAACTCGAATAATGACCCCAAGTCGCAATTGGGATCTAGGATTGCGAGGGAGAAGGAAAGTCAGGCACTGGCTAGCTCGACGATTTTACCTACGGTTCAACAGCCTGAGAACGCTGTTGGAAAGGGAAGAGGGATAGAGGTTGAACATTTCGAGGTTTAAGATGGGTCAGAATGTCGTAAGCGGCAAGCCCGAGGAGCATGGATGCAGCAGGTAGCAAGAGACGAACTTAGGAACAGGACAGAAACAGCCGCTACGGATGTACAGTACGGGAAAAGCTTGTGTATCACCATCATCTACCTTTTGGAGCTGGAGTTGGAGTTGGAGTTGGAGTTTGAACAAGGGCATCAGGGTGGGGCGCTAAGTGGTAATCAGCCGGCTTTTCACAGGAAGTGGGCAGTATAATTTGACATTGTTTGGAAAGGAAGTTGATGCAAGAGTTTATACCATCGAGTTCTATCTTCTACTCGGAGTTTCTGATGTTCTTATGATCATATGGTAGCAGAGATCTATGGCATGGGTTTCCACCGATGTTTTTCATAGCACTTGCATCTGAGAAAATTTCGACGTAGGTGAAAGGTCTAAGACTTTAGATATCTCAGCTCAAGTATTCTCAATTTTGAAGATAATTGAAGTTGTCTGAATGCAGGGGGCGATAATTACAGCTCCATCCAGCACAACCTTGTCGCACAAACCTAGAGACTGGGTTGCTCCTTTCCTCCCACATCTTAGAAGCAGCAAGGACCCCACAACAATGTCTCCTCTCTTTTCAATCCTCACTTCCACCTCTTGACTCTGAATCTGCGCCTTCTCTCGGCTTTGTGGAACCAGTAGGCTACAACTAC